TTGGTTCCAGTTCTCCCCAGATGGTCGGCGACTTGTAACATTGGGATCTGAAAGTCATCTTCAACTCTGGGATGTAAAAACAGGGTCTTTGATCATCCACATGATTGCTGGGGAAATAGTAGATAGTGTACATTGTGCTGCTTACTCACACAATGGCACACTCATCGCTTCAGGAGGTGCTAAGGGAAATAGCACAATCTCACTATGGGATGGAGTCAATGGAAAGCTGTTACAACTCCTTCCTCGACAATATCAATCTACCATAAAATTCCTTCTGTTTGCTCTACAAGAGAGGTTTGGGGTGTGAAAATTAAGGCTGAGATATGCACTTGGAGGGGGTATCTTTCAATGACCAAGTGATGTCGGTGTGTGAAATTTAGAGCATCGCTGCACCATGCTTCTAAACGAGTATCCTATCATTATAACCAAGTGAGCACTCTATGGCTTAGATGAGATGAAATATTACCAATGAATAGTATTCCTTTGCAACACGAATTGCATTTCGAAGGACTAGCAGACCATTCATCACCTCATCCAACTCTTCCATAGCAGCAGCCCACTCTAGGCACACTAATAACTTCTTCTCAAAGAAATGCAATAGTCTCTTTTGTACCTCATCATCTTCCAGTGCATTAGCAACATGATGGGCCCAAAAGATTACTGAATATCTCCGTGGCATATCTTGGTCCTTTTCCAAGGTATCTCGTTCCTCAACACTACTGCGCATAGAAGCAGCCATTTCTGCAGACCAGTCTCTTGTGGCAACATAATGTCTTTGCACCTTGGCTGGTAGAGTGTTGATGAGATTGAGGCTTGCAATTGCCAACTGGGCATGAGCTGTTGGAGGAGCCAAATAAAATGTTGCATTAGGATCTTGAGATATGAGGAAGGTTCGAAAAGTAGGGTGCAGAAGGTAAATGGGAAGATAGATGGTCCCATCCTTCATAACACTACCAAGTTCATCGACAATTTGCTTTGCCCATCTGGATGCCACCTCCATATCTCTTTCGTACCTTTCTCCAGCTGGGTAAAATGACTCGATTGTAAAGATGGAAATGGGCTGAAATGTTAGAGCTACTGCCTTCAGGACATTGATCAACAGATATTTGCTCTCTGCATCAGGCATAGCAGTTTCAAGAACAGTTTCATACAAGACTTGAAGGGTCTCGTCGGGTTTGGCACTCTCTAGTGTTCTAAGGATATGAGCTGGCTTGAAAGTTTTTAACAAAGCATCACAAGCCAGCTGTGCACAGAGAAACACCCCAGCAGAACAGTCTATTACGATTTGCTGCTGATGAGAAGTAAGGCTACTGCCATCAAGTCGTTCTCGGACATATATGCCCACATCCCTATCCCGTTGTTCTATTCCATGCTTTATGTCCAATAAGCAGGCGTCGCTTCCACCTACATTGGCAGCAATCTCGAAGAGGGTGTCGATTGCTCTCATGCGCCTGCCCGTGAGGAACACTTTCATTACATTGTGTGGTGGGAGTCTTTTCATGAGGCGGTCTGTGAGCTGTGCAGCATGCTCTGTCTTGCATTCATCCAACGCATCTATGACGAGGATCAATGGCTTTTCCACTCCTATTGCAGTGGCCATGACTACCTCATAGATTAGATACTCCCATTGTAGATCAAATGGTAGGCTTTCTAGATGCGGATGCGCTTCGAAGGCACGTACGATGAAGCGTTGTGAGCGAGGATGAAGTTGAGACAAGTCTTTAGCGACGCTAAAGCAGAACTTGTCCAGAACATTGGCAAGCCGATCATTTTTATTGAAGAAAAATCGCCCAAGAAGTACGTTCTGAGTTTGCCATTGCTCTGCCATATGAGCAGCGACAACAGATTTCCCTGTACCGGCTTCATCTTGCAGACAAAACACTTGGTCCGAAGCGGTTTCGTTTTCGGACACGCTCGAAGGCGGAGAGTTTGATTGAGCCCAGGCACCCAGACGGTCGATTAGGGCTTTACGGGTTCCTTCTACCAGTTTTTGTACTCTTTGCCCTTGTGCGTCCACATCACCCAGGAACAAAATTAGTTCTAAAGTTCATTCAGTCTATAATACTTTCCCCATGGTCTCGGGATACACTTACTTAGTTTTTCCGTTTGAGCCTCAATTTGGCTGGTCATCTTCATGATTAGGGTCGATATGCTAGACTGTTGAACGTTAGATACCTAGCTTGATGTGAAAATTACACGAACATGAAGAGAGCCGAAACTGGTCTTGAGTTCATTCGTGAGGTCATGGATCTGTTCTGCCTCAAGTTTCACCTTCGCCGCATGTTGGAAAAATTGGGCCCCTTCCCGATCTCCATCCTTCGGTTCTAAGTCAATGTACTTGGCAGCTTCGAATCGGACATTCTCCAGAGCACTAAATGGGTTGAGGGGTCACGTATTAAAAATCGTCGACAAGTTTTGTGATCGCACACCAAAGGTACACTCACGTATAGTAAGATGCAAGCGCTTTGGCGAACACTTTATTAGGAGGAATGGGCGGTACGATGTCTTGCGGAGGCTCTGATCTTCGTTGTACGTCCTCAATTAGCTCGAAGTACGACTCCAGCAGCTCCAGCAAGGACTTCCAACCATCATCTGCCTTAAGAGCATCCTAAATCGAAATTATCCAAAACAAAATACGTTCAGCACACATTCGAACGGATACAAAATGAATGGAGACATGTGGATGCCGTATGCAGAAAGATAATTTTGCCTACCTTGACGGTCTGTAATACAATTTGGGTGATACCACAGGCCGCTTTCACCGGGCCACCAATAGATGTAGCATCCATTGCTGCTTTGGTGAGTTCCATTACTTTGATCGCATTGTCTATGACTGTTGTGGCCTTCTTGTGGCCGTCGTCATCCCGCCTAGATGAGCCTTGCGTTTGACTGGCGCCTTCGATAACGAGAGTAGGTCCTAAATCCCTCGAGCCTTTAGATGCATCACCATGGCTGCTTCCAGCAATGGGTGGTGCATGACGAGAAAGCTCAACCATTGGTATTGCAGATCCAGCCACGGAACTCGGAGCCGCTGATGCTCTTACTTCTTCATTGGAGCTTCCAAATATGCTCGCGCCCGAAGGATGCGGCGAAAGTCTCTTGGGTCGTTCGGTGGATGCAGCTAGCCCACCTTCCTCCTCATCTGCAATCACTCGCTTTCCCTTCTTGCGAAACAACTTCCTAAAGCTGGAAGCCATGAGAAAAGATTGCCGTTGATTTGTTTCCTGAGTGAGAAGTAGATAGTCGTAGCGCAGGAGTATATATCGTTCGGGTGGCGAAAGGTCGAGATCAGATTGATTGGTTTGTATTGGGCTAGAATGTACCGCGACTGCACCGTATTCTGGCATTCGCCGACTGTGAAGCTAGGAAATAATGCTCTTATGAATTTCTTAATTAATATATGATCACATACATGCGAAGAAGGTTCGAACTCACTGTTATGTACTCAGTCCCTTGTAAATTTATCGAGGCGGCTGCGAGAGACAACATATTTTAAGTGCTGCAAATGTTCATATCGAGGCTTAGTACACAAAGCAGCCTGTATTGGCTCTTCTTTAGTCGCCGTTCCCCTTATAGCCGGCCGAGAGTGGATCGGACTGATTTTCATTCAAGCAACTTACAGGTAATACACCTTAAATTGAACGGGTTCGCATGGTATAGGCCGTGCTCTGGCGAGCCTGGCCCGTTGGAAAGCTGTTTTACACCATGCACGACAGTCGAGGGTGCGTTGTTTGGTGTCGCCTGTACGTGTTTGATAGATAATGCATCACCTTTAATATTTTTGAGCTGAGAATACATTCTTGAGTTGATTTGGAAGCAACGGCGTGGCTGGCTGAAGTTGCAACAAGGCGTATACGAGGTCGACTTCGTTCCATCTGCATAGTTCTCTATATTTCATACCTATAATACACATAGTACTCCGAATAAGCGTTAATGAAGTGGTTTTTCCTCCTACTTCGAGAGAGAAAACTGGTGGCAGAGGCGGTCGAGGGTCATTGTGCGTTTGCATTGTTTCCTCTCGACCCTTCGGCCAATCTCAGAGCCTCCATCTATAGCCTCAGATAATGGCCTTTCGAATGAAATAGATTCACCTCTAGCTATAAACATACTTGGAAGCAAAGTTCCTGGTCGCAATCGACATCATCAATGTCACCGAGATGCTCTACATGACAAATTACTGGATCAACGGAGAAGCCAGAGTGTTCTCAAGAGCCTGAAAATGGTATGAACATCCATCATAGCACTATAATGGTGTTTGTCGACGCCTAGGTGCGCTACTCCACCTTATTTGTCCAGTACTTATTTGCGCTTCAGAGCAAAACACCGTGTTAAAGCACTACCCAGTCCTAGATTCGCATTTCGACACTTTACCCATACAATCTCGGGTGCAGGGAGCAGAGGGTATCGGACGGTTACTCTCATCCATTTGCCAGACAATGCGCGAAAGGCTTGATTCCGCCTGACTGAATATGCAAAACATGCACCGAAGTGCCGAGGCTAGATGCGAAAATCATTCGAATATGATGGATTTCCCGGGTTTTTCAAGAGGTGATAGCGTCCACAGCTGACCGTCTCCGCACCATGAGGACAGATGTATCAAACCCGTTTATCGCCGTTTTAGCGCTTCGCTTTGTAGCATATGGTCGCCCGCTACTTTCACACTGCAAGTTGTTAGCCCAAAGCTGCGGGAATAAGGTGATGATATCTTGCCATGAAATTCCATTTGATTAGAACGAGACTTAGTATCGAGTGAAAACATCGAAGGAAGAGCAGTAGACCAAGCAGAGCACGAGTCTAGTCACCATTGGCCACTATCACCTCTTGAAAAACCCGGGAAATCCATCATATTCGAATGA